TTGTTTGCAGCACCTTCACCAGCCAGGGGTTGAGTAGAAAGTAAACGGCGGTATTGTATGTATGTATGTACATATGTAACGTGTAAATAATGTAAATATGGATTGACAACGGTTTAACTGATGTTCTGAAGGCATATACGTGTAGAAGGGAGGGGTTGAGGGGGGGTCGTGGTGTACTTTGGGGGCTCCGTGGGGTCATGAGGGGGTGGGGGGGGTGGGGGTTCCGTGGGTCATTTTGGTCAAAAATGTCGCATTTCACCCAATCACCAAAAACTCATCGGATGTCGACGAAGCTCGACGCCGCGGTCACGCCCAAAGTTGTTTCACTTTCCAAATCGTTTTTTTTCGAAAGATATCGCGAAAAACAAGATTGTGAATATTTGCCCGAACGGACCATATGTGTGTGCGCGTGTTTTTTTTTCAAACAGCGGGACAACACGAGCAACAAGCCCACCTGTCGGATTCGGGGCGCATCTCCAGGACTGCTGCAGCCCAGAAAGAAGCCTCAAGTCGTGCCTACATGTAGCGTGCAGCCTCTAACCCCGCCCTTCCCTAAGGACATGGCGACCATTTGTGCTGTGTTGCGACTCTTCGTGCCACATGCTCAACTCGAAACTTCGAAGCTGTCCGGAAGCTCCAGCCTTCGTAGAAGCTGCAAGAAATAAATGCGGTTTCTCGAAGCGAAATACCTCCTTGAAGTCAAAGCCCCCGATAGCTTCGAAGAAGTTGAGGTTCGGGAACACGCCTTCAAGCGTGGTCGGGGCATGTAGCTCGTGATACCGACGCCACTCGTACAAGCAGCAGACACACACCAGCATGCACAGATCCTCTTCCCCAGCTACGCCAGAAATCAACTCTAGGAGGGTCATTTGCGAGCATGACCAATATCACTCGTAGCGCACTCTCCCGCGGTTCAGTCGCGCCATGAGTTTGTGTCGCGCGCAGCCGCCACGACAGCAATTGCAGCAAGGCTTGAGTGGCGAGCAAGTTTGACGAGGTGCCCGAGGGGGGCTGGGGGCTGGGGCCACGTGTCCAAAAGCATTTCTTGGGTGGGGCGGGGGGGCTCGAACCGACACAACCGGCACAAGCGGTGCGTTTTTATTTCCCGCCGGGCGAGGGCACAATTTCCAACCGGCACGCACTTTTTTTTACCCCGCCGAGAGCACAATTTCGGGGGTAGTTTTTACGGGGAAACCCCTCAATAACGAGCCTTAGCGGTTCGACCATTGACCACGCTTCCTCGAGACGACGTATCAATATCCCCACAGGATATATCACCGATGCCCATCCGTTCCTTCCTACTTCGATGTACTTTGCCATAGGTGGCTCAATAATGCTTTTCCTAGCCTATCTATCCCACCGATATCACTTCCCGCCTTTTCAACCCACTTCCTATGCCCTAGTACAGCTACCGTCTTCTCCTGGCTATTCCGTGCCTCAAAAATATTCCTGTACCTTTCCTACTACTTGTCCAACTCAGTCATGTACATTACTCTTGTCCTTGTCGCCTGAAGTGGTAATTTTCAAGGACCCGATTTTGGTTGTCCCTCCATACTTTTGACTGAGAGCGAGTAAAAGAAAAAGAAAAACAGCTTCGGAACGCCCGCGGCAAGGCGCAAAAGCGTAGCGAGTCGCCAAAAAAAAAAGGAAAAAAGAGAAAAAAAAACGAAAAAAAGATGCTCGCGGCGGGTCTCGAACCCACGAAATTGGTCCTAGAGCAACTTTTCCCCCATATATGTTGCTAATCCTTTTTTTTTTTCGCACCAAACCACCCACACGTGCACAGGAACGCCCTCAAACACTATGCATATGCCTCTACCGCACCTATAGCGTACATACATCACAAAAATTGGCCATTTTCAACAAAAATGTTCCATTTTTGTACAACATTCCCACCAGAAACACGGAAAAAAACTGAACAAATACAGCTCAATGAACAAGAATGCACCATCGACTCTACGGCCTCCATTCCTTCGGGGTCGGGCGCCTGTGCGACTTGTACTTCTTGTACGTCTTCTTGCCCTCAGGCCCTTGCACACGCGTCTCGCGGTACATGAGGGCGTGTGTGTACGCCTTCTTGCAGTAGCCCATGACTACCGAAACAGCCTGTCTATCCTTCTCTGATCTAAAACTCAGCGGCANCTTTCACTCGCAGTGATACTTAGGAAGCATGAGACAGGCCCCCCCGTGGCGCTGCATCAACAGCACCAGACTAGAATCAACTTCCTTGAAGTCCTTCTGCTCTCCCAAAACGTGCTCCATGCTCTTGCTGAGGTCCTGCTTTTCGCCCGAGCCCCCCGTCTTACTCATGCCTTTGACCAGGAGCCCCCTCTCCCACAAAATCTGCCGCATTCCTTTCAACTTTCCGACATATTGCGCCGGCTTGAGATGCGGGGAGTGGAAGGGGGGATCGTCCCCCCTCCGAAACACCAAGTGCTGTACCGTGCCGGCNGCCTTTGACCAGGAGCCCCCTCTCCCACAAAATTTGCCGCATTCCTTTCAACATGTTGCGCCGGCTTGAGATGCGGGGAGTGGAAGAGGGGATCGTCCCCCCTCCGAAACACCAAGTGCTGTACCGTGCCGGCTGGGAGGTTCGGGGTATCTTCGAGGATGGTCACGGGGTCCATCGGCGCAAGCTCTTCTCCGTTCCTCACACCACCGACACCCAAGTTCATTCTCTTCACCGACGGTGCGCCGACCTCCATGCAGTCATGACAGGACGACCAGTCGAACAGGCCTACAGGCTTGTGCTCAGGGTAGAGAACTGTGAACATGTCGAGCACGTCTGACATGTGGTCCAGCATTCTGAGCCCGGTCCAGTATCCCTCCTTGTTCTTGCCGTACTCGAAGAGGTGGTAGGACCAGTACACACCATGATCCCCTGGCCTTGTGACTTCTTCACGGGCACATGCTGGCCGCCTCGATACCACGCGCGCCGCTGGTCGTCGTTGGCTGCAAAAACAAACAAGAAACCGACAATTTAGGGGCGGCAGATGTGGCGCTGTCAACATTTGTGATTAAATTTAAAGTCCCACAATTGAATTGCGAGCAAGATTACTGTTCGCGCCCGGAATTTACACCTAAATTATCGAACGCGCTTTGCTCCGTTTAAAACTAGCCTCGAAATATGCTCTCGTCCTGGTAGAGAAGCATGGCCCGCCTCTCGTCAGGGTAGGTTTTCTTGCTCTGCACTCTGGCTTGCAGGTCTTCGGGCAAGTCTGCCAGCGCAGACTCGAGATCATCGACACAAACCCAGACACCACCATCCGGCAAGCGCTCGGTCTCCTCCACCGTCTCGACGTCAACACCCCAGACGATCGCTTCATCCTTGCCCATCGGAATCCATACCTCCATGTAGTCGCGGGTGTCGAACAGCGCCGGGAGGAACTCGTCGTGCCGGTATTCAAGGGTCTTCTTGTCGTCGTGGCCATCGAAGTACAGCCCCTTTTTGCCGTCGTGGTATTCGCATTCTATCTTCTTCAGCCACTCCGTTGCCGTAGAAAGGGAGATTTGGCGCTTTGGCGGCTCGTTCTCCTTCCTTTCCACCAGCTTTACTTTCAATCCATGGAAAGCGTTGATGCCGTCCTTTTCCTGCTCCTCCAGCATCGGCATGATGGTGCTGTTCACCCACTTGCGGAAATCCTCCACCGTTTTATTGGCTTGCCCACTGAGTATCCCGCAGTTCTCGAGCACCCAGCCTTTCGCGAGCTTGAAGACGCCTTCGTCGAGCTCCAGCAAAAACCTGCGCTTGAAGCGACCTGTGTCAGGTTTTTTTATGCGTCCGTGGGCGATGAAATCCCGCTCCCACTGCTGTACTGTTTGAACGGTTCTCCGTCCAACCTCTGCTGCGATGGCCAGTGCATCCTTCCGGTCGAAGCCGTCGGCCTGCTGGGTGTACAACTGGATCAATGTCATGGCCGCTTACACCGTGTGCGCCAGCTGAAAGTTAGATAAACAGCTGTCTTCCGTACTTGTATCCTCCTGCGAGACCGGAGTTCTTGAAGTGAACCAACGGCTGGCGCTGCGGCTCGAACTGCGGGTGCTGTTGATT